ACTGGATTTGTCTGATAATAAGTTCATGTTTACTTAACAGATAACAAAAAAAAAGAAAAGAAACTTGAAGAATAATTAATAAATAAATAACAAAATTTATTAATTATTTAAAGATATATATTAAATTTAAGAAAAATTAAAAACTGAAGAGATTTTTTTTATAAATAAAATGCTAAAATCGAATATGAAAAAAATTTTGTATGAGTTATTATTATAAATAATATGATTTACTTTTTATTAAATTTAAATTTTTAACTAAATAACATCAAAATTAATGTATCTATATATATTTTTTTTTATCATCAATTTATTTAAAATATTAATGCATTATTTTCACATAGTAAACAAGATTCTTATTTTAAGAGAAGAATATTTAAATAATTTAATACAATAAACAGATCATTTCATATTACAGAAATATTATTTTATTCATCATCTATTTTACTAAATCTTCTACAAATTCAATAAAGAAAATGAAAATAGATAAAAAGATTCTTTTGAGAAATATAATGATTACATACATATCAATTGCATTATTAATAAATACGAATAACAAAAACAATGTTAGCAATAATTTTAGTGTTCGATCCATTTCAAAATTCTTTGCAGAATTGTACTTTCTCGGTAACTTGAAGGTATCTTTTAGTTTAATTAACTTTATTCAGAAATATATAAAAACCTACGAACTCAAATTTTGAAATTCTTTTACTAATGAACTTTTCATCGCTTTCATTTAAATTGTGTAATAATTCAACTGAGCTATTTTTCTTTTTCTTTTTTGTTATATTAATCATTATATTTTATGATATGCCATTTGATCGCCTAATCATCAGTTGTGCTGTCAGCATGATGAATGTTCCCAGTTTTTTTTCTTCTTAGGATATTGCTGATATTGATCGACATCTGTTTTCTTTCAATGAGTGTCTACAATAGCTACGCTTCGTTTGTATACAAAAAAGAAACATTTGTCAAAAGAAAACACAGATATTTCTATGAAGAAGTCAATTAGTACGGAGTGATAGTCTTTTATTGTAACTATTTTTAATCTTGAATAAAGGATATATATATAAAACCAAAGTAGTCGTGATCATTTTTGCAATAACTCAACGGTGAAATTGTTCATAACTAGACTTTAGCATCCTACTTCGAAAAAGACGGAGAAAATGTGTACGTGTAATATTTGGATTTGTACTTCAAATATTACGTATCAATTTTTCGTCGATGGTTCCTCTTGAAAATATTACTATTTGATACAAAATTCAATAGTGCATTTAACTCGAGCGAAAATAGATTCAATTGAAATCTAGGAGCGCACATCAACAAGAAAAAAACTCAAATTTGCTGCTAACTTTTTTTTTTTACATAACTCAATAGAAGAAGGATGAGTATTATTGAAATGACCTTTGACATGAAAGAGATAAATATCTGTGGTTTTTATTGTTTTAAAGAAAATATAAAATTGCATCGAATTATATATATATATATTAGAATATTCTGATAAGTTTGATTAAGAACTGTCATAAGGTCTATTTAAAAAATGTTCGATGGTGTCGAGTTTAACTAATAATAAGTTACAAACATTTCATTACATGTTATATCGATAAGTTTTTCTGATGTTATTACGAAAAATATTCCTTATAAAAACTTTGATTTTATTAGAAATTTGTTAGACAAATCTAGTATATATGATTTACTGTAGATTTATCTTTCCTTTTAAATAGTCAAAAACCACAAATATCTATCTTACTCCTATGAAAATTTTTTTTTCGAACACATTAACCTTTATTTTACTTTGAAATGAATATAAGTTGTCAATATCTACCTTTATGTTTTTGCAAAATTTTCTAAACTCTTCTTTCAAATAAATTTCATTTTGAATAACTAACAATAGAAACTTCTCAAATATGTCTTTAAAATATGAATTATAGCTTATACATTTCTCAATTCAAGTATTCTGAAACATTTTAAATATTGAGATATTTTGACGAAGCGATTGCCATTTTAAAGTCATTCAAGATATTTTAGGTTTTTTGATTTTTAGATTTATCTCGTTTTCATAATCATACAATGCTAATTTTCGATTCATTCGAACAATAAAACAATTTTTTTCTACATTGTACAATATTATGATAAGTTATTTTTGTTTATATCAACAAATTTGCCCAGTAACTATCATTACAAACAATAATTATTCGTCCATGACCAACAAAAACAAAAATGACAAACAATATTTGTTAATATGCTACGCCTGTATGACAAACACATCTTTTTTTTTTTTCAACAAATATTTTTACCATTAATTTAACTATTCATCATCATATAATAGTTAAGTTACTGATTATTTTTCATTTAATATATGCATAACAATTTTTTACATATCGTTATTTTTATATATTAATATAATAATAAAATTTCATTGAATTGATTTATGATAATGAATGTTAAGTATAATATGAGTTGAATGACATTTCATTAAGAATCATCCTTTTCATTTGGAACGATAAGTTAAATCGTATGTTTGCATACGATGAAGATTTCGTAGAGAGTATATGAATATAAAAATTATTTTTATGATAGAATCGAAACAAAAAAAAATGATATTTAATATGAAGTATTATTGATCTAATTAAATAAAAATAAATATTTAATAAATTTCATTTTATCTTCAAGACAAAAGATTTTTCGAAGCTATTCTCTTATTAAATTATATTCAGTCAATAAATTATAATAAAAAATATTTTAAAATTAATTTTATGAATTAAATACTTTTGTTATATTTAAAAATATAATTTTGTACAATGACTTCTATATTAAGACTATATTCAATTATTGTATTCTTATTTTATGATCAATAGATTTAAATATCATTTGGTTGTTAATAGTTTGATTCATAATAAGAAACATTCTTTTACATCAAACTCGTTTTATCAGTTATATTTACTGAAATAAATCTAGTTCTTATCTTTGAAATTATCAAAATGAAAACAGCAATAAATGTTAACCGTCACGGTCTGTGAATACAACTGATAATAGATAATGAATCACATAAAGAATCAAAATAGTGTTTATCTTTGTTAATATATTTCAATGACCTTATTGATCGAAACGAAAATATTCTAATATACAGTAATAAAACAGAAGTTCTGATTCCAGCCAAACATGATTATCTTTATAACCAACGCATTTCATATTCAATTGTTCGAATAATTACTTTTTTTTTTTTTTTTTAAATAAATATCGATTTATCTACCAATCGACATTGAAAATTTCGCATAGCATATTGTAATCAAGTGAAACTCGAATATTATTAGTGTTTTTCTATCAAAGTTGAGAAAAAAAAATAAATAATTACTATAAAGGCAAATGAAGCTTTATAATAATATTTCAACAAAAATCATAGGACCGTACAGTTTTTTTTTTATATCATTATAACGCAAAATAGTAATTTCGAGTTTTTGCGTCGTGATAAATAAATTATAAGCAACTACTATACAATGTTTCGTATCTTTAATAATAAGTATGATTCATTATATCATTTTTAATATTCGATTTTTTTTTCCCTTCTATTCTTTGATGTCGTATTGATCGTATGACAGTAGAAAGAACCTAACTGCGTTTTTCATTTATCTTATTTCTTTATAGCCGACACAGAGACTACACAAGGCTTCTTGATGATTGGATGAAAGGTATGACAAGAACGTATGAAGAAAATATCTCAAAATAGTGATCAAAGTTCAAAAAAAATTTCATAGGTTTACTTAACAATAGTCGATCATATTTAAGTATTGAGCAGATGAATACGACGTTCTTTCGACTTTTGTAGTTCTTGAGTGGATATGTATTGTTTGCAAGCAAAAAAATAGAATTTTTATTCTTGTTTTCTCTCATACATATTACAAGAACTTCGTTGTTATAGACTTTATTTGTATAAATAGACTCTACAAAAACACAGTGTTTTATATTCTACCATAGAAATACTAATTAAAATATTGATTTTGAGACAAAAAAGTTTTGTGAAATATTGAATATCATTTCTTAAATTTTAGATTAATGGAAATCAAATACAGAATGTAATTATTATCAAAATCATGATATTCCAAAAAAAAGAAAAGAACAAAATAGTTAATCTAACAATTCACATCAACAAATATTTTTTTTTATATATATGAAATTCAATCGAAATATGTTGATTTTTTTTTTCTGATTTTGAAAAGAAACTGTTTGTTTTACAATCAATTATTTTTACATATTTATCTTTTTGAAAAAAAACATAATTCAATTAGAAACTTATTAACTAAAATAAATACGCGACTGCTTTGTATTTAGCCACTAATACGATTCAAACTGACATATACAAGGAGAAGGGATGAAGCACATGTTTGAGGTATGATATAGTTTGGTGTATGATATGGATGAATGCACAAATATCCATGAATAGCGATGTGTAGGATAATTCTAAAAGAGAAGAAGAAAAAAAACAACGTCATAAAATAATCATTAAATTAATACTGACAATACTAACTTCACATGTTAGGTTGGGGGTCGATCAAAAAACACGAAAATAGTCTTTACCTATAGATAGTGGTTGAATGAGATTGTTATTGATGCATTTTTTTTATCCCTTTTTTTTTTCTCTGTATTGTTGTTAAATGCTTTTTCGTCAATAAACAATCATAATCGAAAAAAAAAATCAGAAAGACAAAAGTCTATATGTCAATATCTAAAGTGATTAAACCTCATTATTATTTCAAGGACAATAGAATATGGATAAGATTGAGAGGAAAAAAAAAGGGCAAGATCTATTTTCTTCTCATTACATGAATCGACAAAATTAATGAAAGATATTGAGAAGGAAAAAAAAATAGTGTTATTGGCTTGCTTGACTGCGTTTAACCAAATTTGATAGCTATATAAACCAATGCAAATTAGTGGTTTTCGTTTTAACACTCGTTTCGATATCAACACGTTGTCATCTATACTAGTAGAAAATATACAGTAAGATGACTGCTGCTGATGTTTTATTCAATCAAGCTGATCTAAACCAAGATCAACAAATTGATATAAATGAATTTCAAAATTTTACTGGTGCTGGTGGTCTTTCATATGGAGCATCAGATTATGGTTATGGTGATTTAAGCACACTAGGATTTGCTGGTGATCTTTCATATGGAGCATCAGATTATGGTTATGGTGATTTAAGCACATTAGGATATGCTGGTGATTACGGTTATTCATCAATAATAGGTGGTGGTGGTTATGGTGGTGGTTATGGTGGTGATATTATTTATACTGGAAGTGGTTATGGTGGTGCTGGTTATAATGCATCATTATACGATTCATCAATTATCAATGCTGGTTTAGGTTCAGTTAACTATTTATCTACACCACAATGGACTGGTTATCAACGATATGCAACCGACGCTCGAGGTCTCTATCAAGATCCAAACCCACAAATTATACGTCGTCCAGCACCAGGCGGTGGCTTAACTTACGCACAAAGAATTCGACTTCGATTTCTTCAACCACCACCTGTTCCACCACCAGGCGTAAGCTTTCTTTTTTGTTTTCAGTCTATTATCTCACAATGTTATTGATATTTTAGCCACTGATCATTAAAGAAGTACGACCACCTCAACCACCGCCACCAGCTCCACTTCGTATTCGTCAACGAGCTCCACCTTTCCCTCCACCACCTCCATTGATCTTACGTGAACGACCACCAATTCCACCACCTCGTATTCTTCCTCAAACTGGTAAAGAGAAACAAAAAAAAAAGTTATTTCGATTCTCTTGAATCTATATTGATTATTTTGTCTAGTTATTCGGCGACTACCTGCTCTTCCTGTTCCACCTCGATCAGTAATTGTCGAACGTTTACCACCACTTCCACCTAAACCTCGTACGTCTTTATCTTGTATTGTTTTTTGGTACTATCTTTATGAATGAACTGATTATATTTAGGTGATATTATCCTTGAACGATGGATTCAATATGGACCACAGCCTAGACGAAGAACAATTGTTCAACGTGCACCACCAGTTCGGCCATATCCAATACCACGTAATATTATCATTCAATATGAACGTGTTCCAGCGCGTGTCGTTCGACAATTTCAACATCTTGGCGTTGTTCAAGAAAATCCAGCATTATATGTTCAACGTTATGGAGCATCACTTTTGGATGCTTATTCATTGGTACAAATGGCACGTGCTGCTGGTGTTATTGAAAATATTGTATGTTTATTTAATGTTATAATTTTTGTATAAAAAAAAAATAAATAAATTTTCTTATCTATTTAGTCACCACCTGGTTTCGTTGGTTCATTGGCTGGTGACTCCTCTCAATTATTATTATCGGGTGGTAATCTTGGTTATGACATTACCAATGGTTTTGGAGGTTATAACACTTTTGATGCTGGAATAACTGGATTTAATGATATTGTACCCTATCAATCGTCATATTACACAGGTGGTACTGATTTTTCAACATTTGGTGCTGATTTAGGAAGTTTTGAGCTTCTTGGAGCTGATGCTGGGGGTACTACTTCGTTTGAGTCATCCTCATTGAACGTGACAAATGATGCAACAGTCGCTGAGGCAGCAGTCGCTGGTGCACCAGTCGACAGTACAACATTTGGCAATACAACAGTTAGCAGTACAACATTGGGCGATGCAGCAGTTATCGGTACAACAGTCGAAAATAGGGCAGTCAACGATGCAGTACGTCTTGATACATCAGCTAGTGCGGTAACACTTGGTTCTATAACATCTACTATTCCAGTAGAATCAGTAGTTACTACTGATGTCAAGCGTGATAATGCATCATCCAGAAGTGGATCCACTATTTCTAAAAGTTCAAGTAATATAATTATTTGATTTATTTGATTTTATTATATTTTGTATATTATTTAGAACGTTAAAATTGGTATCGATGGAGTGAGACGTAGCAAAGCATGTTTGTCTATTCAACACAATTTTATCTCACGATGTATTCAATTCATGCTTTTTTTTTTGCTTCAATAAAAAAAAAAAATATAATTCATTTCGATATTGAGTTTTTTTTTTTAATTTTAATTAATTCAAGTAGTTTGGTGTTAATATGTGAAGAACAAATTAAATAAAAATAAATTGCTCTATTCAAAAATATAAATATAAATATATTATGATTACAATACTTATGATTGTAATTGGTGTACCCTTTTTTTTTTTTCTTCTTCTATTTATTGAAGCAAGGAAAAAGCAAAACAAGAAACTAAATGATAACAACTAACATAATAGTCCCTTATGCATACGTATATAAATAATGAAAAGCAAGAAATGCAGCAAATGAATAAATAATTAATGTTTAAAAAATTATAATCAAAGAAAATGAGCAAATGAAGCAGAACGAATGTATATAATGTAAAAAACAAAATAAGAAGAAAGAAGTAGAGTTTCTTGTCCTTGTTATATGAATTCATTCGAATTCATATGTTCTTCTTTATAATTGATGAAAATAATAATTAATAAATTACGTATATTATTCTCTAAAACAAAAATATTATAATAAATGAAAATTTTATAGAAAAAAAAAACAAAACATATTCTAGTATATTTACTAGAGTCTAAGATGAGAGCTAAGAAATTGACGAAATTCATTAACATCAAGTGTTCCATCTTTGTTAATGTCTGCAGCTTGGAACGCAGCAGCAACTGAATCCATACTGTTAATTTGAATATCACCAGATGAAGCATTATAACTTTCATAATCTGATACACCGGCACCACCAAATGCTATATTATCATTTTGCAATGCTGCTAAACCTGTTTCATATGATGATGAAAAATCTTGAGCAAGACCAGCACCTTGTGTTGATTCAAAACCTGAAAAATTAGCATTGCCTTGTTGACCACTACCATAACCTACTGATTCAAAAGATGATGCAGAAGCATCAAAATCACCACCAATTGTTTCAAATCCAGAGCCTGCACCAGAATATCCTGCATTAAATAATGTTGAACTTGCTCCACTACTGACAAAACCACCTGGTGGAGACTAAAAATTATTTAGAAAACAAACATTCGTAAAGAAGAAATCTATTATGAAATATTATATCATCTTACAATATCTTCAACAACACCAGCAGTACGTGCTTGTTGTAATAATAAATTAGAATCCAAAAGTGATGCTCCATAACGTTGAACATATAATTGTGGATTTTCTTGAGTAACACCAAGACGTTGAAATTGTCGAATAACACGAACTTGAACAGGTTCATATTGAATAATAATATTACGTGGTCTTGGATATTCTCTAGCAGCTGCGGCTCGTTGAACAATTGTTTTTCGTTTAGATTGTGGTCCATATGGAATCCATCGTTCAATGATTATATCACCTAAACATAATTAGCTCATTAATGAAGATATTACAACGAAGAAAAACAAATAAGAATAAAATATAGAGATATACGAGGTTTAGGTGGTGCTGCTGGTAAACGTTCGATAATGACTGATCGAGGTGGAACAGGAATGGGAGCCAATTGTCGGATAACTAGAAAAGAAAAAAAAACAATATAAATACAAGAGAATTGAAATAATTTTTTTTTTGTTTCTCTTTTACCAGTTTGAGAAGCAATAGGAGCTGGTGGAATTGGTGGTCGTTCACGTAAGATCAATGGAGGTGGTGGAGGAAGAGGTGGAGCTTGTTGACGAATACGAAGTGGAGGTGGTGGTGGTGGTTGAGGTGATCGCACTTCTCTAATAATCAATGGCTATAATATCAACCATATTGGGAGATAATAGACTTAAACAAAAGAAAAAAAAAGGGCTTACGCCTGGTGCTGGAACAGGTGGTGGTTGAAGAAATCGAACTCGAATATTTTGTGTATAAGTCACACCACCGCCTGGTGCTGGACGACGTATAACGTGTAGATTTGGATCTTGATAGAGACCTTGAACATTACTAGTGGCTAATTGAAGTTGTTCTTGTGAAGTACTTGTTTCGAATGTTGATGGAATAGAAAATCCTGCAGTTCCATGTGAGAAATCGATACCAGATGATGAACTTGATACAAAACCACCAAAATTCGAGCCTGACAATGCATTGGCATCAAATCCATAACTACCAGCTCCTGTTAATGTAGTTGCATCAAAACCATTAGCACTAACACCAGATGCCGATGTATAAGATGATTGATCATATAAACCATAGGTTGATTCGCCACTGGCAGCTACTGTACCATTGGTAACTGCTCCGACTAATTCAGCACCAGCAATATTTCCATTACCATACAAAGCTGATGATGACGAGTCATAAGAGCTGGCTGTATATTGACCACCATTATTAGCGGTTGCTCCATAATTTGTTGAATCGACACCTAAATTTCGTGCAATAAGTTGACGAAATTCATTTAAATCAAGCCGTTGATCTTTATTAATATCTATTCAATAGAAAATAATATAATTTTTTTTAAGAAAAAAAAAAAAAAAGAAGAAAAACTATAGATTAATACCGGCTTGATCAAACAATTCATCAGCCATAGTAATGCGAATATATTACCGACGGTAATATTCAATAAAAACAAGTATACATGAAACTTGTTTTGCTTCTCATTTTAAATACCATGATTGAAATTAATGAAGCAAACCATGTATGACAAGGGCATATTTCGTCTATCATCACCTTTCCATATACAAAGATATTTTCATGACAATTCTTTTACATTCGTAGTTTTACCTGCCCCATATATCATTCATTTTCCTATCATAGTTTATCATATCAACCAAAAAGAAAAATTAAAATCACTTGCCAATATCTCTTCTTTTCCTACAGCGATGGTAATCATAACTTACTTTAACTAGTCTAAAACCACCACTAATAGATAGGTAGCTAATTATGAAGTAAACCTTAAAAAGCATGTTGTTGTGATTCGTTACAAACATGCGATAATGATAGAAATGTATATTTCGAGAGACATCAATTTATCACAGTTTCCATGCTTATTAGAGTTTATTTATCTTGATGATTGCAAATTAAAATATGGACAAAATATAATATATATATTTCAAAGTAAATTTAATTAATTTATTATATAATTTTATGACAAAAAACAAAAAGAATGAAAATATTTAAAAATGCGCCTAAAAAAAAAAGAATATTGACAAAAAAAAAACTTTCAATGAATCGAATTCGTTCTGATTTTTTTTTCTTATTCATAATTGTCTAAATTTAATTCTAATGTCATATTCAATGGAAGAACGTACACAAAATATACGTAGTCAACCAAAATCATTAGTTATTAATACACATGATGGTATTAATTTAGGATTAAATACAAGAAAATCTACATTTACAGTTGAAGATTATATTTATCGTGCACGTTTAGCAGAAAAAGCTTTACGTTATGAAGATATGTTAATACAAATGAGAAATGTACTTGATTTAAAAAAGAAATTAACTGCTGATGAAAGAAATTTACTTGTTGTTGCTTATAAAAATGCTGTTACAACACGAAGGACAGGTGTGTGTGTGTGTGTAAATGTCTTTGAAAACATATATATATAAATCACTTGGTTTTTTTTTGTTGTTGATCTGATAGCCATTCGTCATCTTTCAGTTTATTGTAAAAAACTTGATGAAGCAAAATTAACACAAGTAAAAATAAAATATCAAAAAATCAAAAAAATATTTTTTTTTGCTTTATCAGATTTGTGAACAATATCGGGAAGAAATTGCTAATGAATTATGGAATTTATGTCAAGAATTACTTAGTAATAACTAATTCAAAAAAAAAACAAAAAGTTATAATGTTAATTTTTTTTTGTTTTTTTTATTATATTAGCTATTGTAAAAGATATTCTTACACCTAATGCTCGTAATGATGCAGAACAAATAGCATTTTATGAACGTATGAAAGGTGATTTTATACGATATGAAATTGAAATAGCATCATCAAATCTAAAAGAATCATTACAAAATGAAGCTAATCATTGTTATTTAAATGCAAAAGAATTAGCTGAAAATAATTTACCAGCATATCATCCTGTACGTGTTGGTATAATGCTTAATTATTCAGTTTTTTGTTTTAATTCAAAATCAAAAGCTGATAATGCTTTAAAAATAGCTAAACAAGCATACGAAGTAAATAAATTATCTCATTAGTAAAAGAAAACAAAAATCGATCTCTTTTTTTTCTTTTTCTTAATTAGGAAGCTTTAGCTGATTATGATCAATTACATAATGAAGAAATGCGTCGTGATGCTCATGCACTTATGAAATCTCTTCAAAATAATATGAAACATTTTGCTAAAGGTCCTGGTAATGATATTGAAGAAATATAAGTTTGTCTTTTTTTTTGAATCATATTATATCATCATTCTTATTTTGTTCATATGTACGATATTCTGTTTCATGTAGTTTATTTTTTTTTCTTTCAGTAAACGTTCAATATAATCCTTCATTGTAATGGTTTGTTCTTTCTTTCTTTTTTTTTCTGTTCAAAACTATGTAATTTGAACTCAATATTAAACCAAAAAAGAATAGAATATGAGCTCAATTAGAATATAATAAGTAGAAAATAGTATTAATGAACTGTATCAAAAATATTCACAATAACAAATTATGCAAGTTTTTCGAACGTTTTTTTTTCTTTCAAATACATCAAAAAAGTTAATTTAATTATTTTTTTAAAAACATTTAAATATTCATTTTTAATGCTCTAGAAATCGTAAGTTTTATTTCAATGCTTGTCTTACTGAATAATCATATGAAAATTTTTTTTTTTTGATCGATACATCAATTCTATTTTGATCATAATTAAGATAAAATTTGAATACAAACAAAAGTTTCTGATTGCACTGAAATCCTTTATAAGTAAAATTGTCATATGTATCTTATTTGTATACATTTGGTTTTTCTTTATTGGATATAATGAAACTTATGAATAAACGTGTATAGATATATCTATCAATGTTTTTTTATTTAACTATAAAATAAACAAGAGTAATGTCGTATTTTTTAATTGAAATTATGCTAAATATTGATAAATCAGTCAAATATGAAACCGGAGCATTTTTATATCACTTATAATTCAAGCTGATCAATAGTTAAGCAGAAAATAAATATATAACTGCGTTTCTAATGAGATATAATCGGTTCTTATGAGTATTTAATGTTTATTTCATTAGAATAGATAAGAGTGCTCAATCAATTAGAATACTCGCCGTTATATATTGTGATTTTCTATAGTTATATAGTACATGTATTATATTAATCACTTGTTGTTATTGTTGTTATCGTTCGGATTTTATCTCTTGTAAATTAAACGATTTGTTAACGGTTTTTTCAAAATTATTTAATCAAAGATGAATCTATAATTAAAAGATTCGACGAAAGATTTCGACAAATAAATTTTGTTATTTACAAAAAATAGAGCCTTAAAAAAACAAATGATAAGCATTATATTTGTACTTTAACTGATATAAAAATAAGATTTTTTTTGATATACGATTAAGCCTACAGGACGAACAAAAATACCTCAAGGTATCATATCTAATTGACATACTCTCGTGTATATCGCATATCTTGAGGCATAATACTACAGAAATAATGATTTATTTTTATTTCTAGTTTTTAAAAGAAAACTATGAGCATTGTATATATAATAGAATTTTTCTGAATATTCAAAATATTAATTTTATCAGATAAAATTAATAAAAATAATAAAATATTTTTTTTTCTCTTCAAATCTTTTATGATTAGTTTATGAAAAAAAAAATAAGGTTCGTATAATTAACTCTGTATGTCATAGCATTCACAATATGTGTGTACATGAACGAGCACGAAGAACATACAGGGTTAATTTTTAATCGGAAATCAAATGAAAAATGTTATGTGTATATAAGATGCAGTTCAGTGTTAATGATGCTGAAGGTTGAAAAGAATAGATCTCAATTGTCAAAAAAGAGAACTCGAATAAAAAAAAAAAGAAAAAGAAATCGAGATAAGTACTATCCATCGAATGATGAGAAAACGAGCAAAATGTTAATGTAATCAAAAGAATGAATATATATAGACTTCTTTCTTTTTCTTTCTTTTTTTTTTTCTCCAGATACCTGGTCAATGCACGCACACACATACACATACAGTGATGATGATGGTGATGCAATGAGGATGACATTGTAAAGTGAGTGAAGCGTTTTATAACAAGGTTAAAAAATAAAAAAGAATATATATATTTCGATTATATTATAAGAAGCATGTATCTTTCTTTTTTTTTGTGTGTGTCACTTCACCTTCAATATATCCATCAATTATCTTCAAATAAAATGTTAACAGATTTTTCTTTTTATCTACTATGCCATCAGAATAATTAACTATGTCTGACGTATGTTTTCTTTCAAATATTATGAATAAAGTCAAGATATGACACTAATAATAATAACAATAATAATGACAATATTATCTTTGTCTTTATATTCTACTTATATTAACTAACTTATGAACATTGTACATTTTATAAAGTACTAAAGACAGACGAATGTGTTTATTTTTTGCATGTCATTTGTCTTTATTAACAAGCACGCAACTTATAATGACATGTTTATTCAGTATATATCGTATTTTTGATCAATGAAGATCGATTGAAAATCAACAATGAATAGGTACTTATTTTAAAAAGAAAAAACTTCTTTTTCTTTTGTATTCAAAATATTGTTAAGAATTATTTCTATTTTAGACAATTGATTACTTAATTTTAATTGTTCATATACATATGCATGGGTGTGCATGAATATATATATATATATCTATAGAAAAAAAAGGAAGCATTTGTATACGCCTTTTTTTTAGCTATGACTTTCCGGTTGCTTGATTGAACAATTACAATTTACAGTGTTAACCGATGAAAAAAGAAAATCAAGTGGCGTCTTTCTCGTTTTTTGCTTCTTGTTCTTTATATATATAGATAGATTGACTGACAGACGATTAAGATCTTTTCTGTTCAGGACATGAAGTCAAAAAAGAGAGGATACTCGAATTTTAATAGAATTTGTAAGTATCACTAGGTTACATATGAATCCTAAATTGAATTTATCTCTATTGAGCAGAAAAGAGAGAGAACAAGAAAAGACAATCAGTTATGAGGTAAATTGATTATCCTATCTTCCTCTTGGTTCTTATTCTTTTTTTTTTGTTCTCATTGTCAAGCACCTGTCTGAAGATGACCTCATTTATATTATTGTATATTTGCTTTCCATTCTTTTCTTTTTATCCATATAATCGATGACTAGTTTGCAATGAACGTAAAAGCAAATTTCGCTCATTCAGATCATCGGAAATCGTCTCGCGATGATTTATTCTCGCAGGAGAGAGAGAAGAACAAAAAGAAAAAAAAAAAAAGAAACACCAGTAACGGACGTAAAAGAAAGAAAATTTGTTTAGTAAGCCGAAAATCTCTTGAGTGTTCTTTTTTCTCATTGATCAAACTCTTTGTTCTTCATCATTGGTCTTAGATCGATTGGTATGATGACTGGTGTAATTGTTTTCTTTTTTTAAAGGTAAACGATATAGATCTAAACAATAATCTTAGTGTAGAATTATAGATAGACAGACAACAGGAAGAAAGAAAATAATAACATATCTATATCTAACTGTCCTGAGGTAATCGATGCATACTATGTCGTCCTTGTTACAGTATCTCATGTTTCATTCGTAAGAATCATTCGGAACGATCTGCAGCTGTGCCAGCTGGTCTGTGTATGTTTTTTACGAGTCTAATGACTTTCATTTTTACAACTTTTGTTTGATCATCATTTTTGTTGTAACATACATACGAATAAAACAAAAAAAAAGACAGAATAGAAGAGAGAATATGTATGTATGTATATATATATATATGTGAGAAAGACAAATAGGCAAAAAAAGGCAAAAAAGAAAAGAGTTACAAAAAAGTTTCATAATCTTATTGACGCTTGCGGCCATCATTTGACTTCTTCTGTCTATATGTGTGTGTGTCAAAAGAAATCATTATGGGACTTGAGCCGTTTCGTCAATATTAGAACTTGCTTTCTAGCCAGTCACTTCCTGCTTGATGTATTCTGTGCAGCACAAGTGTGTATGAGTGTGTATGTGTGTGTGGCGATAATTGTTTTCTCGCACGCAAGACAAATCTCTCGTCTGATCAAGTTTTGAGTTGTTCTCTTCCTTTTTTTTTCGTTCTGATGATTTATCTTACTATTTCTATCAACGAGTAAGCGAGTGTATGAACAATCGACGGTAAAGGATTAACATTAGTGCTACTGCTTTTTGTCGATTTGTTATTGTTGTTCACCTCTCTGTCTATACATATATATCTATATCTATGGAACAGTGTACTTTTGCATTCAATCTGCTGCATTGATGACTAGAATATTGTCGATGATCCTGAACAGGCATCATTATCATCAGTTACTGTATGATAAGAAAAGAATAAGGAAAAGACATTGATCTGTTTGTACAAGAGCTCAAGAGAAAAAGTATAATGAAGGACGCATCTTTTTTGTCTATAATATAACTTGACAACAATGGTGAGTTTATAGCCGGAAGAGACATAGAAATAGAAAGGGAGAAAAAGACAGATAGACAGAGGGAGCACTAAGGGGAATTTGCAAGTCACTCGATTAATCTGGTATAGTACATATATGCTAAGTCAAGAAGGGACATAGAAAATTCGATATGTATTACTTCACGCGTCATAGGTAGTGCTTATTATTTTTGTTTGATAATCGAAACCTCTCATCTTACTAGATGAGATGTGTGTGATGATTAGTGACACTACTTACTTAATGCGAATAATAATTTGCTTGTATAGATCTATTGATTCTCTTTTCTTTTTTTTTTTTGTGTTCTTCTTTATCAAATCTTCCTCTTATCATCATGTCAACATTTCAAAGTGTCTATATCATAGTTTTTTCATTTCGACACGTTCATCAAACAACATCATTTACTAATCGACTCCTGCTGATCTTACTTCATTTTCTATTTCCTATCACGACATGATAAAATTGAGCATATTAATTTAGAAAATAATGAACTATATTATTGTATTGAAAAAGAGAAAAAAAAAACTACTTCATTGAAATATATATGTATATAGATTCGTTATACAATACCACTGAACAGTATGTATAAGTCAATAGAAAGAAAGAAAAATATAATAAAGATTTTTAAATTGACATTCACCATATATACATATATATATATTCGTTTATATTATAGTCTTATACATATATTCTAATCGTCATCAAAAAAAGAATATGTCATATTTGATGACATCATCTGTCCCTAATTGATAATCTTGATG